TTCTTTATTATCTTATTTTATTTTTAATTTCTTTATCTTTTGTTTATCTTGTTCTAATCTTGTTTCTTACATTCTTTCCAGCACTTAAAAGAAACTCTAAAAGACCCTAGTTGCTGCCACCACCTTCCCATATTCACCCCTTTGTTCTTCATCGAGTCTAGAGCTTTCTAGGTTTGATTATTCAACAAGAGCAACGTTCATTAACCCGCCACCGCTTCCTTATCAATTTGGAACATCAAATGTACTCAAAAACTACTTCTTTATGAGTTTGAGAAGCATCAAAACTACTCACCAATAAGTTTTTGGGATTGTATTTTTCTTTGTAAAGTGTTTAGTAGGAATGCGGAGAATTCCTACTAAATGTATCTTGTACTGTGTGTTCAATAGTGTTTTGTTAAGGCAATACCATGACGATGTAGGTGTTTCTGTCTAAGACAAAACAATTGTACCCGATTAAGATCAAATGTCTTGTTTATGTTCCCATTAACTTTTGCATTCCAGAGATGAATCGGTTTAAGGATCATCTCAATAGCTGAAGTGTCCAAGTTGGGTTTCTTTGCTCACAAATCTCACCACCATTGGAATAAAGAAAGGGGGTCAAAATTGCACATTTCATACATGAATTTGTTTACTCGATTTACTTTCGAACAGTGGGGATTGGAGGCTTAGGCAAGACTGCAGTGGCGCAGTTTGTCTATAATCATGAAAGGGTCAAAGGTCCCTTTGATTTGAGTATGTGGGTCTGCATTTCTGATGTTTTTTATTTTAAAATAATAGTAGCAAACATGATCAAATCTGTTACTGAACAATCTCCTGATAAGAATCTCGAAATAGATCAACTGCAAAATCAACTTCGTGATAAAATTGATGAAAAAACAAAAACTTATTTGTTTTGGACGATGTTTGGGAGGAGAAGAGAAAACAGTGGTTTAGCTTACAGAAATTACCGATGGGTGGAGCTAGAGGAAGAAGGATAATTGTAAACACTAGCTCTCATAGAGTAGCAAATGTTACTAGTAAATGTGAGCCTTATGTTTTGAAAGGCTTGTCTGATGATGATGCTTGGTCTTTGTTCAAAGAAATAGCATTTGAGCAAAGATATGCGGATTCAACAAATCCAGCCTTTATAGAAATAAATGATTTAGAGCGTGGAAAAGTAGTTGTCTCACAGCAAATCTAACCTATCAATAATATAATAAAAGTCTTCAACCATCTCTCTGATGCTTCGAGTAAAACTGCACTTAATTCAAAAAATAGATTTTTTTAATTCGACTCGAGAAAATTCAACTCGAATTGTCTTCAAATTGTAATTTCATAAACTCGAATCGAATAAAAAACTCGGCTTAATTCGGAAAATAGATTTTTTACTCGACTCGAGAAAATTCAACTCGAATTGGCTTCAAATTGTAGTTTCATAAACTCGAATCGAATAAAAAAATTAAGTTCAAACAGAGTTGTAAAATACAACTCGAATGGTAATTCAAAATTTTGAGTAATTAGTGGATTAATTTTTAAGTTTGAGTCGAGTACCTCAACTCTGTATGATATACGTATATCATATATGAAAAAAATATGAAGAATATATATGTATTGTATATGGTTATAAAAAACCATTTAAATTTGAATAAAATAATATCATAATATTAATTTACAATTAAATTTAAACATAAACAAAAAAATTTCAAATCAACTCCGAATTATAAAATAAGACTAATCAACTCAAATTTTTTTTCGCTCGACTCGATCAAATGCTCACCTATATTATAGTGTAATTTGTCAAAGGCATTTACTAAATTAATTTCTTGATTAACAAGTTACCTAAAAAATTTTCAACTTCTGGTAAAGTTCCACGCGCTTAAATTCGATTTTTTTTTATTAGTCTCGGGTAACTATAAGTGGTGATATATGTTCTAAATACTCTCAACTAGTTCACAATGAACGCTCAAATATACTAATTTTATTGGTGCTTGAACTCGAAATATTTAGAGATAATAATTATCCCTTTAATCACTGATGTCACGTAATTCATACAAGTACAAATTAATAGACGATTGAATAGTTAAAGATTTATCAATTCTGATACGGATTTATTAATGTTTCTTTATTTTCAAATGATTTGCATCGTGAATGATTGAACTTTGCATTAAGAGGTTATGAGTCTCGATTTTAATACATTAAATAATAAATTTATTTCCTTTACTTTTGCATAGATCGTAATATGTTTTCGTATACTTTACATTTCATACATATATTTTATCATTTCGAGTGGATTGAAATTTTGACTATAAGTTTGTTAAAATATTAAAATATTATTATTTCATTTTATTTTACAATTAAATCTTTAAATGTAGATTATTTTTAGATCACTACAGTAATCAATTTAACCTTAGAAATATGATCGTAATATTTAAGACAAATTTAAAGGTTGTAATAAGTCTTATTTGAATATTAAATTTTGATTTCTTGAATGTAACTAGTGCACCAATGATCAAACAAACCCGATTCGACTTTGATTTATAACACGAGTTCAATTCAGTGTGGATATTTTGAATCATTTTGGCCACCTGACTCGATTTTTTTTAATTTTTTTTCTAGATTATTTATGTTCAATTTTATGTACCTCGTGTTACTCAAATATAAATACAAGAATATATTTTTATAGAAATTAAATACAGTATGAACAAATACTATCGGGGTCAAATAAATGAGTTTTACTTTTATTAATTTATGTTTCCAAATTTGGATAGAAGTAATCACATTGGTAATTCATTAAGCATATATTTTTCAGAAAAAAATAAGCTGATAAATATAGAAATATTAGATGGCAATTTAGATTAATTTAGATTAATTCGTGTTATACATTTTAATTTTAGTAAGTATTTCAATAAAAATTTTGTACATTGAAAGTAAAGCTTCATTCAGCTGAAGTATGAGGAAAATTCTGAAAACAAGGGATGATTTGCAATCTTTGTTTTCAGGGACAACAGACTGGGTCAAGGTGAATGCTCGTTGGATTTGGCAGGAGATTAGGGAGACAAGAGTGAAAGTTGAATGGCACATGGTAGTTTGGTTTCCTATGCACATACCGAAGCACTCCCTCATTACCTGGATGGCAATACTTGACATGCTTCCAACTGCTGATAGGCTGGCTCGCATGAGGATTGAGGTGGATGACAAGTGCAGATTGTGTGAAGCTGTGTCTGAGACTCGCAGCCATTTGTTTTTTGAATGTTCGTTTTCGAATGCTGTGTGGGAGGGGATTGCACGCATGTGCAATGTTAACAGAGCTGTTGGGACCTAGGATGAGGAACTGAATTGGGCTGTTAATAGGTTCAAAGGTAAAACTTCTCTGTTTGTACTTAGAATTGCTTGGTGTGGTTATGTTTACTGATATGGATGGAGAGGAATTATAAACAGTTTAGAGGAGTGAGTAGGGATATAGATAATGTGGTGAATTGTATTAAAGAGGTAGTGAGGGTGAAGGCAGCTAGAATTGTGATTAAAAGTAGTATAGTTAATCGTAGACTTTGTCAGGCTTGGGGGATTACCTCCTCCTAGAAGGATAATTCTGTTTGTTTTGGGTGGTCTGTATTTGTTGTAGCAGTGATTTGTCTACTGCTTCTTGGATAATAATAAGAGGAAGTTATCCAAATTTTTTTTGTACATATATAAAGATTCAAACTCGAAATCTACTTAAGCGATACTTAATTGCTTACCACTTAAATCAATCTCGTTAATAATAATTTTTATAAGATAATACAGTAAATAAATACACATATTCAAATATGAATATGTTTTTATATACTATGTATTATAAATGTGGAGTATGATAAAAGTAACTTTGAAAATAAATAAATTTACATATATATATATATATATATATATATATATATATATATATTTGTATCTCATACTTATTAAGAAAAAATAAATTTATAGTAAATAAATGTACGAACCAATTTACCTTAATTACTAAAGGAATCGTTAATGTTCCTAGAGATTACGAGTTCGAGCATCAACGACTGCACCAAAGTGATTGACCATTTATTATCAAATGGTTGAGAGTATTCAGAACAAATACTACTTGTAAAAACTTAGCTAATAAAAAGAAATCCCAAATAATAGCATCAATATAATATTTCAAAACGAAGTTGCCATGAATTACAGGACAATGATTCTGGGGAAAAAGTGGATCTAAAAGAAGTAAAATATTGCTTATACACCAACGTTTGTTGATTCTAGTTTTACCAAATTTGATATTGTTTAGGGTAAATTACAAGTTTAACACATAAACTATTTTTGTTCTGTTTTAGTATCCAACTTTATTTTATTTCAAAAGCATACTAAACGTTTAATTTAAGTTTCAATTCAACACAGTCATTAAAAAATTAGTAGAATTATTGATGTGACATAATAAAACTTTTTTTTTTCAATGTTAAGTGATATTATCTTATGATGACACATCAACATTACGTTAAGTTTTAGTAGTGGAATACGATAATAAAACTTAAACTAAACGTTGGGTATGTTTTTGAAAAAAATAAAGTTTAAGTGCCACAAAGGAACAAAAGTAATAGTTTATGTACTAAACATGTAGTTTACCCTATTCTTTAAGTAAGATTTTAATGTTAAAATTGTGAGAAAAAAAACAAATATATAAATAATTTCATCTTTACTAAAAATCGACTTAATTTGATTATGAAATTAGTTGAAATCCATTATAACTATCAAATAAATACTGGAATTCTAGAAAAACAAATGCTTGCACAACAAGAAACCGCTGTTAGATTGCTAAATCCTCAACTATAAAAACCTTGGAACCATCTTCAAGCTCTTTCTCTCAGTCACCTTAATATTCAATCCATATGGAGGTGCCCGTTTCGATGTTCATCGCGATCATCAACCCCATGGAAGCCTGATTCAGAGCTTCTTCGCCTTCTGTCCTTCCCAGAAAACATTAACAACCTCTGCAGCAGCTCACTTAAACATGGAGTCATGGAATGGAAAATCATCATCTTCTCAGCACCCTGATCCGGGCATTTTCTCCAATGGGTTGTCACCCAACACTCATCTTTTTCGCCCAACGCATCGTGTTTGAGCAACGAAGACGAGGCCAGAGTGCGTCAGCCGAGCATCATTGTCAACGAGAAGGGCTGAGAATGATATCGAACAGGGATTCTACGAGGAGATCAAGAATGAGAAAGAAGCAGCAAATCGAAGGGCCTCAATCCCAGGTTAATAAACTTCAAACGGTTAACCGTCAGCTTTCGCAAAAGGTGATCAATCTGTTGGAGAACAATCATGAGATCCTCCAAGAAAATTTTCAGCTAAAGAGAGTTTCTACTCTCCACAATGTGCTTTCTGATGTGTTTGCACCTCTCAGGAATTCCAATGATCCCTCCATGACTCCTAAATCAACTTCTTAGAAATGCTAATATAGGTATCATACTTGTACACATACATACATAGAAGTAGAACAACTTCTAAGGCTAAAATGGATGATAAACTGGCTATGGGTTGCTTTTTTTAATATAACTTAAAAGTATATAAATCAATATTGGCCTCATTCAATTACTGATAGAAATGCTAAATAGGTATCATACTTATAGTTTTTTTTTGATAGAAAGGAAGACCTCGTTAAAAACCTCCTTCAAACCGTCAAGAAAAAAGACTCAACGGACATTGGAAGGAGGAAAAGAATGCCTTAGAAATTTGTTGCATAAAACCAAGTACAATAAGAACACACTACCACCCAAAAACGATGGCAGCCCACTCAACATAGTGCAAAACAACACTACCTACATGTAAATGTTAATACCTTACAAAAAAACTACCTCCTAGGTTAATCAACCAGATACAAACATATACCATTCCCAATCTTCCCGATATACCAATAATAGAAAAACAATAACCTAATTAATTCCCCATAATTTAACCAATCCCTAGTTTGGCAAATTCATCCGCTTCGCAATTAGCTACTATCGCCACATGACGAACAATGACCTTTATTGATCACAATGTTTGCAATATCTTTAACAGTGGATAAAATAAGCCTTCGATTCACCGACAAACCCAAATCCAGGAACAGTTTCAACCTCTCCTCACTGCCATCAATTCTGCCAAAATTGGAGGACCGGAAGATACATATAGTTTGATAAATGTAATGAAGTCTTCGGACTGCATACGTCGAAGTTTAAGTATTAATCAGGATTTTACTCTACTAAAGCAGTTTGAATGTTCAATTATGATCAGCCATTAAAATTTTAATGGTGTTGACATGATAGAGACGTGACAATGTATACTTTATGCTGACATGATATACTTATTTTATATGTTCAGTCATAAATAATTCAAAATTGGAAAAAAAATGAAAAGAATTCACCATTGCTCTGATCCTTGAATGCATTAACCGGATCTGTAAAAGATCAAGTGCAGGGCCATCTGTACACAGTTCAGAAGGCAAGATACATTTAATGATTAAGCTCTAGACTTCTAAGCTATTCATGTTGAAAGAAATCACATCTTACCTGCTTGACAATATGGTCTCACTGAGGGTTTTAATAGCGGTCCGCGACCGTGATAACGCCCACGAAATAGCGGTAGCACTGCCTTTCAATATACCCACTATGGCCGCAATCACGGTAACGTGACATGACCGAAAACATGACCACGACCGCGATTTGAATCCTTGGCTCAAAGTTAAAATAACCACTGTGAATGCCAGGCTCAAAGTTGAATCATCCAAAGACAGTTCATGTTATAGTAGCCAGACACCATGGATTCTAGAATAGTGCACTTCATGAATCAGGTTATTTATTCATGAACCGAAAATGGTGTGATATGCAGCGGCTAACTCGAATAACTTAATACATTGACTGTCATCTACCAAGAACATCAATACAAGAATAGCATAATTTAAACAAAATGATGCTCTTAACTGAGTTTTAAAGGTTTAACACTCACAACCTATGCTACATGCAAAGTGTGCAAACTAAAACCTTTTTTTAAGCAAAAGCAGAATTCAATTAGGAAAGCAAATGAAACAATAATAGCTTCTCGTGAAAGTGAGAACAAATGCTTTTCAATAGACAACTAAAACAAAGGGTAGGGTCAAAATAATTATTTAGAAACCAAAACATATAAATAAAAGCCTTTTCCAACCATGGGTTGAATAAGATTGTGAGCTTTGCTCGAGCAATGAATCGTAAAACCGCGGAGAAATAGATATGTCAACTGGTTTCTGGAAACCTAGTTCCCTTTCTTTGTGTTAGTGCATTGTTATTTTGTTCATAAAGGATAACGAAATCATTTGTTAGGGGCGATGCGATCTAGAGAGTTTCAAGTATCCATGCTCATATGTACCGGCATCAGCGAGAATTCTGCTCTTCTAATATCATCGCCACATCTATTTAAGATTATATAACATCCTTCAAAAGTATGTAAGAGATCCCAAAATGTATAAAATGCTTTTAATCTGGCCATGCGTCAAGGTATTATTGCAAATTTGGATGAAATACAACCAATTGTCACTAATAATTTCATCTTAGGACCAAACCTTTTTTCTCTCTAATTCATAAAAAATTGAATCCTTGATTACAATATATATATTGGAAAAAGAAAACTTCGAACAAACAGGGTGCTTTTGATCGATTACAGCCAATAATCAATCGTTTCTTTTCTTCAAAATCACCCGCTTACACAAGAAATTACTGTTCAAGAACTGGGATAAATCAAAATTACATGCTTTATAGAGATTTGAAGCAAACTTATTAACTTCCCAGTGTTCTGTTGAATTGTAACTTAAACTTTTGCTTCACCACTAAAAGAATATACTCAAACTGAAACAAAAATGGTAAATGCATGCATTTTCTGGGGAAGAAAGGAACTGGAAAAAACCTCATATTTAAAAGGAGCAGATCGAAGAAGCCAACTCACGCAAATGATTCCCAATTTGAGGGTTTTGGTCATCGACATTGAGCGTTCCATTTTCGGCGGTAGCATCAACCTGAGGCAGCGTTTCCGCAAGAGTGACGGAAGATTCGGAATGGAAAGCGGAGATGGAAGGAGTTGATGGCGGAGGTGGGGAAGACGGTACCGTCGCCATAGTTTCTTTCGAAAGGGCGATTTAGTCTCTAATTTGCCGAGTTTCTCTATTAATTAAAAGGGTAAACTACAGAATTCACAGCTCAATTATCTTTTCACTTCTGTTTTGATATCTGAAGTTTTTGAATTTTTAATTTAATCATTCAATCTTTGAATTGTTTTTTTGAAAGAGGGTACGTATTATAAGCAAATTGAAAGTATACCACCTCAAGAATCTCATTAAAAAACCTCCTAACCCTAAATGGAGGAAAATAGTGCACCAAGAGGTGGAAAGGATCATATACAAGGATATCACTTACACAAGCAAACATAACCTAAACCCACAACAAAACTCACACAAACACCCATACATTCCATGCAGCAGAAAAATAAGAATAGGATGACAACAAAAACTGAACTAAAACGAACCAACAACAATGGGGTGTGTTTGAACAACAGCAAGATCCAGTTTCACCAAACCTAATAAACACTACATAACACCATGACTACATCGCTCTTCAAACAGCACGCAAAAAACAGCATAAGCATTCCATGAAACACTTCCTTTAAATGCTCCAAAGAAACTGGCCCTACCAACCTTTTGCTCCTACACTATTGATACCCTTAGACTTTCCAAGATGACCGAGTTTTGCCACCACAAGATCTCCTGCAAAACACAACATACTCGCCCTACCAATAATGAATTCTCGAGAACTATATGAATTAGCAAACAAGACCATTCAAATTCCGCTTTCCTTAAGACCGAAGATCCTACATTTTGACGAAAATCTGAACAAATAGAGAACACTTGGAGTATTCCACCAGAATCAGCTTACCAACCAACAAAACTTGAACCCACAAAATCATGTACTAGTAACCTTACACTACGATACTATTAAGAAAAAAACTCCAATTCCTTAAAAACTACAACAGTACTTTATGAATAGAACCTTCGACCTCACGCAACCCTGATTGTCACTCACCACCCTCAACATAATTTTGTTGAGTGGGGAGCATCACCTGACTTATTATAAAAAAACTTACTTACTGGCAGTGTCTCCTCCGTTTCGTCATAAGCAGCAGCCCCACCTTTTCTTCAAATCCGAATCCAACAGAGATCTACCCAATATACAGATGAGATAAGATCAGATTTCAAAAAATTGAATCTCTTCCACACTCGATCTCTTCTTTTCTCGGCTTTCAATAGGACTTTGTCATGAATATCCAAAAGAGAACCAAATTCTTCTTCTTTTTTTCCTAGTGAACAACTCTTTTTCAATTGAGTAAACAAAATTAACCCTAACTGAGACTTAGACAAACGCCATTCATCTGCAATTTTGAATGAAAACAAATCTGCACTTGGTCTCCAATAAAGCTAATCTCATAATACTATCGTTAGTAATGTTCTTTAGCCCATCAATAGGCGTGAAGCATATCTTGCACATTCCCATTACCAACGATAGCATCACACAAATCCACCTCAGCACCCACATGCGCCCTACTGAACCTCCAAAACATCAAAAGTGTCACTCCTCTGATGAAATGAACCATGCACATCTACCCCATACAAGACTGTAGAGGAATATATTTCATAAGCCCATATTTCATCGAAACAAGGACCTTCACCTGGTTCCTCAGCACCTAAACGCCGCATTCCACCCCCAGTATATGAGCCAACAATAAACGCTCGATTTTCTTCCTGAAATTCCTCTATTTTTGTGGAATTGTGTGAAGACCTTCCAGCACATACCTCCAACTCGGAAGACTTTAACGGCGAGACACCAATGGGCTCCCCCACCGTGGATAACGGGGATGCAACTGCTTTTCCAACAAAGATGAATTCCCAGACAGATTCTGGCTTGAAACAAGGTTCAAACTCAGGAACATATACTTTAAAAATCCATTCCCCGATTAACAAATCAAAGGATTCTTCCACTCGAGCTTGGCAGTTATAATCTGAATCAAATCCTATCAAACGAGCGGGATTTAAGGTCCCTTCCTCAATGGTGATAAGAGCTCCCCATTTTTCTGCAATATTTCTGAAGGGTGGAATGACTCCACACAAACGATGGGATCCCTTTGCATGACACCATGCCTGTCGGCTGCTGCACTGAAAGTTTTTCGACCATACTTCCGCTTTGTCAAACCAGTTTTCAACGCCCCCATCTGAGTATTTAGAGTGAAATCCCTACTCTCTTCATCTTCAAATATTATTAAAAATGCTAATCCGCTTAACCTCATAATTTTCGGACATAATAACCTTCCTTGTGCATAAGAGCAACCTACTCTTTCATTCTTATAAATTTTCTGCACCAACCTACCAAACTATCTCTAAGAGTTAATAGCTTGTCCTCGTCAACAACACCGACAATGGGAGCCTCAGAAAGACTAACATCCTCCTCTCTACTCTTGGCCTCAGCTGATTTTGAAACAGAATACTTCTTTCTTCAGAAAGTTTCACGAGGTTTAAATCTTGCCATGAAAACTCTAACTTTATTACCATGAATCCAAGATCTATCAGCACAGATGATTGCCTTCCTCGCGTCCTCCAATCTGGAGAAACGAACAAAACCAAACATGCTTCCTCCCTTGATTCTTTTGTTAGGGATAAAAGAATCAACCACCTCGCCATATTTATCGAATAACCACCAAGATCTTGATGATGGATAAACTCTGGAATATGAAGATGATCACTGTAACACAGTTTATCCCAACAGAACTTCTCACCTTACTCGCCATACCCTTGGTATAATTTAGGTACTAAAGTCTCTGAATTGTTCTTGTTTTGATCCTCTATGACATTGACTAATTTATTGTTATTTATGTATGACGTGACATATTTATTATTATTTTGATAACACATGATTATAATTAAAACATAAATTTAAAATTATTAAATCATATACTTAAAATTCATATCCAAACTCTAACCCTCCGAATAATTCCCCAAACTATATACTAAACTTTAAATTTCAAGTTATAATCCCACCCCACCTTCATCTTCGACAGTCTCACTCTTGCACCGAAGAAAGGTAATCATCGACTGCCACCAAAGTACGTTTATAAGACTCTAGTTTTATTTCATACTTTAATATAAATAATAAATCATAAATAAATGATCAAAACTTAATAAATTAATACATAAATGATTAAAATTTAATTTTTTAAAATTAATAAGTAAAAGTGATACATATAAAAGGAAAATCATCAATCCATTAATTTTTTCCATCTTAGTGCATGCTAGAGAAGTAGGAATGATTAATGTTAATAAGCTTACACCAAATTCTATGGGACAACATGTCCCAATGTCGAGTCGATCGTCCGGCCGCAGTCCAACAGAAGTTCCGGCAAACATTCGTGACTGCTCCCTCAACTCTCCGACTCTTTCCACGATTGCTTTGTTCGTGTAAGTGAATTTATGACTAGTTAGAATGATTTTTTTTATTTAGTTTATCAATATCGTGATCACAGACATGACATATGTTATTGTCGCTTATCACTTTATGTTCACAGGGATGTGATGTGATGCTTCGGTATTTCTGGCATCGGCAAGTGGTAACGTGGAGAAGGATCATCCTGATGATATACCTCGCGCCAGAGACGGATTCGATACGGTGATCAAAGCAAAGGCGGCTGTTGACAGTAATCCTCGGTGCAGGAACAAAGTGACTTGTGCAGAAATCTTAGCTCTTGCCACTAGAGAAGTCGTACTATTGGTATCTCGTTTCACACATTCTTTTTACGTATAATAATTAGTTTTTTAACAAAATTAAATCAAGAAAATTCGAAACAAATTATCCACGGGAGGACTGTTTTACATTGTGGAATTAGGGAGACGTGACGGAAGGATATCCACAAAAGCCAGTGTTGAAGGGCAACTTCCTCACCCTAATTTCAACTTGAACCAGCTCAATACTATGTTTGCCAACCACGGTCTCTCTCAGACCGATATGATCGCGTTATCAGGTAATTCTTCTAATAAAAAAATATTTTTTAAATAGTTTTGAGATAATTATAAAATATATGTTCAAAACATCCTTATTTTAAATCAATACTTAATGTAATGATTTCGGTTCGAATATGTATGGTCAGGTGCACACACCTTAGGGTTCTCCCATTGCGGTCGTTTTTCTCCAACAGGATCTACAACTTCAGTCCTAGAAACCCTATCGACCCGACACTTAACATCCAATACGCCATGCAGCTAAGGCAAATGTGCCCGAGAATCGTCGACCCCACCATCGCCATCAACATGGATCCGAACACACCTGGAACATTCGACAATGTCTACTACAAGAACCTTCAACAAGAAGGGTCTCTTCACCTCCGATCAGGTACTGTTTTCGGATCCGAGGTCGAGAAACACCGTCAACCTTTCGCATCGAGCAATGCAGCCTTTAACCAGGCTTTCGTGGCCGCAGTGACCAAGCTAGGCCGAGTAGGGGTTTTGACGGGTAATCAAGGCGAAATTCGACGGGATTGCACTCGACCAAACTAAGCCAACACGACCCTTTCTTTCTACTTCATTTCCTCCTGCCCTTTGTTTCCAGATTTTAAAATTATATTTCGTTACGAGAATGACGAGTTTGCAAGTGTTTTAATTTATAATTGTTTATTTGCCACTCTTTTAATAATAAAAAAATTTATCGGATTCATATCTTTTGCAATAAGATACTGTTTTTTTACAATCAAACACATTGTTTACTTTTTATGAATTCAAATTATCTTCCTCGCACGGTAATTAGAGTCAATTTAGGGTTAAATTCTAGAGTAAATACACAAATGGTTCCCTGACTATATATTATTTTATTAAGTTTCTCGAGTATTAAAAGTTATAAAATGGTCATTCGACTATAAAGTGTTGCTTTTTTAAGTATTTCGACTATTAAAAGCTACAAAATGCTCATCCGACTATTCATTGTGTTCGAAACTCATCTTTTTTCGTTAGAAAATTGACGATTGTCTAAGTTGGACGTTTAACATGATAACTGATATGATAGTCGTTTAAGATTCTGGTGTACCAAGTTTAATTCAACACAATCTAGCCATTAATTTTCAAATCGAAGTACATATTTAGTAAGTCCATGATCTTAGTTTTTTTTTTTCATTTTACCAATTTTAATAAGTTTGGAGCCTAAATTTTCTTGAGTCATACATCTTAAATATGAGGATTTGTGTAATTAGTGGTCATCCTTGTAATATAAGTATTCTAAGCTTCATGATAACTTTTTTCATGATTTTTAAGGCATTAGAACATCAAAGCCTAGTCATTTGAAAAGTTAGGGTTGATGTCAATTAGTATAAAGTGATGTTATGTGTTTTCTATAAATGATTTGAATTATATGTTTAACCTTATGCATAAGGTAAATCAGTTGAAGGAACTCTTATTTGGAGAGAAGAATCGAGCTTCCAAGATTGGTGTGATGATATGAAGTATACGATGAGTATAATTTGTGTATTCGAGTGACTCGATGTCATTCCAATTCGATGTTTTATCATTTATTATAGGTGAATTCAGTCAATGTGTTTGGAGCTCAACATAGAGTATTGAAAGACAAAGTTAATATCAAGATAAGCTTATTTGTTTCATGAACATATTACGGTAAGTTTATATGACTATGATATGTCTAATATGAAAGCATGAAATAAATTAATTTAGTTAGTAAATATGAAACAAGATATGGTAGGATAAGTTTCATATGTTTATAATATGTGTGTCAAGAAAGCATGTGATACGTGAAGCTTTAATATTATGTAATTTAGAAGATTGAAAATAAGATAAAAAATGTTATAAAAAATGAATCAAAACATGTTATAAACGTTTATATCTTTAGTATCTCTGATGCTCAAACTCGAGACTTCAAAGAATAACATCAATTCTTTTATTATTGAGGTGGCTTGGTTCGTATAGTTAGGATTGATATTTTTTATTATCATTTAGACATTTTTGGGCTTTCTCTAATGAGTCACTGAAGGAGTAATCATTCTTTAGTACAGTTAGCATGATAAATGCATTAGTGCCCCTTTCTCCTCTTTTCTACACTCATTACGTAAATGAAAATATATATAAAAGAAGTGTCATTTCTATCAATTTAATACACTCTACAATCTTTAAAAAAAATCACTTTATAAGTGTATGGTATCCATTTTTTTCATTTTTCTTTAATGTATAAACATCTCACTTTAGCGTCTTTTTACTTTTTTTTCATGCAATTTTCTTTAATCTTCAACTAATGAAATTCTTCAACCATTAGTTGAAATTATCATTGTCCCCTATTTGTTAGAACTAAGTCTAATCATGTCAAATCATCAATAATAAAATAAATACTAGATGCGAAAGCGTACCAGAATTAATTAATAAGTTGAAATCATTGAATATTTCTTTGGTTGTGATCTTCCAAGAAAATATAGTTCCCTTAAGTATAAACTCTTTGACGAGATAAGAGTAAATACGAGATTATCTATTTCTTGAGGACCATAACCCATTTATATAACTGATTTAAGAATCAATTATTGTCTATATTTATAACTCTGCCCTTCAGCGAATTATAAATACAACTTTAATAATATTTACACTTTCATTTTCATGACTTTTCTAATACCTTATGACTTTATAACATAATTGGTCATTTAATTTATGTCATATTTTATGATAACAATATGCATTATAAATATGTCCATAATTATGGATTTTAATCCAACACTATTCATTTTAATTTTTGGTAGTTTTTCAATTTGATCTTTAAATTTTTCTAAATTTATAATTTGATCCCTATAAGTATAATACTCAAAAACTCATGAAAATTATAATAATATTATAAAAGGAACTAAATATGTAAAATCTCATTCTTAACATCTTTTTGGCAAAATTTTCATTTTCCCCCTCATATGTTACATTCTTACAATTTAATTTTTTTCTTCACTTGACATCCCTTCATCAATATAGAGGCAGCTAATGGCGATGGTTAGTTCCAAAAGTCCAAACAGAGTGAACAAAATCTTTTGGGACCAACAACTTCCAATAAAGGCAGCCAACTGTCACGAATTAGAGGTGAAGAATTGAGATTTCGAAAAATGATAGAAAAGAATTTAGAAGAAAACTTGTGTATTCATTCATAAAATGATTCCAATGTAATCAGGTACAGTTTTATATAATTACAAGTACCCACTGGCATGTACTGGAAATCTAACAAAATAACTAAATTATGCTAACTTATGCAGAATCATATGTAGCTGGAGTCACAGCAGATTACAACCCGTGGCCCATGTCTTGCCTCAGTTTACCCAATCTCCTTCTCAACTCTGGTCCCAACGGTAAGTTTCCTCCCAGCCCTCTCGTTCACCATTTCTTCCCCGTTCCAAATCCCTAATTGAGTCAATTTCCTCCCAATTTCCCCTTTTTCAACTTTAATTCCTCTTTCATCATGAGAATACCCCCTCCATCAGAGGATCCTTGTCCACAATGATCAAAATCTAGAAATTACGTCTTGAGCACCGTATAATCTTACCAAGTCGCTTCTGTTGGCCCCATATTCGTCCATTGAATGAGTAGTTGTGTGACTGCTTGGTTATGGCGTTTGACGATTCGCTTATTCAACACAATGGTTGGGTAAACCTTTAACTGACCATCAGTCTTGATATCTGAAGGATCAATTGAAGGTACTCGTCCTTTTCCAACATTTTTCTTTAATAAACTGATATGAAATACGAGATGTAATTTTGAATTTGATGGTAACTGTAACATGTATGCCACTTGACCAATTCGTTGCTGGATTTTGTAGGGACCAAAGTATCTCGCAACCAGCTTCAAATTCTTCCTTAAAGCTAGAGAGGTATGTCTGTAGGGTTGAAGCTTCAGGTAAACCTCATCTCCAACATTAAACTCTCTGTCTGTTATATGTCTATCTATCTGTTTCATACGATTACTGGCCTTACTTAATTGCTCCTTTAACAACTTATTTAATTGATCACGTGCTGCATCATATCTTGAACTGCCCAACCTTAGACTCTCCTGACCATTTTAAAGTAGGAATTTTATAACCATAGAGTGCCTCAAATGGGTTCATTCCCAAGACAGTATAGTAATTAGTATATACCACCACTCTGCTTGAGGTAGCCACTTGGACCATGAATATGGTTTGATAAAACACACATCTAAGATACTGCTCCAGGCACTTATTAAGCCTTTCTGTTTGTCCATCCATTTGATGATAGGCAGTAGTGAAAACGGGTTATTCCCAATTGCTTCAATAATTCCTGCCTAAAGAGACTAGTAAAAGTCTTGTCTTGTCTTAAATAGAAGCTTTAGAAGGTCCATGTAGTTTTGTAGACTTGATCCAAATAAATCTTGGAAATTTCTACCACTGTATAAGGATGTGACATTGGTAAGAAATGAGCATATTTCATAAATTTATCTATCACCACTAGAATGCACGTGTGTTTCATAGAAGTTGGTAAACCTTCAATGAAGTCCATTGTAATGACTTCCCAAGCATATTTGGAACTAAAATAGGCTGTAACAAGCCTGGTTTAGCAATGTGTTCAATTTTAGTCCTTTAACATACTTCACATTGCTGCACATGTTGTTGTATCATAGTTTTTATTCTAGACCAGAAAAAAATTGGACCTGATTCTTTGATAGGTAGCTTGAATACCTGAGTGTCCTCCTAGTGCTGAGTCATGTAAAGCCAGAATAATCTTTTCTCTTAGATCCCCCTTGCTGCCTGCATATACTTTATTCTTAAAATATAGAACTCCTTGAACCAATTCCAGTCTTCTATAGCATCTGATTGAAGAACCAAAATAGGTAGTTTTTCTTGTTCAATGGCATGATCCTCATAACTCTGTTCAATGTCCTGTATCCAAGTAGGAGTGATAACTGTTATGCCATTTGTAAAAATTCTCCAGAATCTCCTTGTTGTCTAGAAAGAGCATCTACTACTTTATTATGCTTGCCCTTTCTGTACTGAATTGTATATCCAGCCCCATCAATTTAGTAAGTCCCTTTTTTTGAATAGTTGTAGTTAGTTTTTTTAGTAGATGTTTTAGGGGTTTATGATCTATCTGATAACAAAGGTCCACTTTCCAAATAGTGTCTCTAATGGGAAACTGCCATTAAAATTGCTAGATATTCTTTTTCATAGATTAAATGGTCTGCATGCTTTGGTCCAAGAGCTTTACTGAGATAAGATAGTCATTTCTTCCTGAGACAACACTGCTCCAATGCCCTTTGAACTAGAATCTATTTCCAAAAAAATTCTGCTCAAAATTAGGTAAGGCCAGAACTGGGGCTTTACACATAACTTGTTTCAATTCTTCAAATGTGCCATTGCTTCCTGAGTCCAATAAAATCCTTATTCCTTGAGCATATTAGTCAACAATTCTTCAATGTTTGCCATTGCTTCCTGAGTCCAATAAAAATCCTTCCTTGAGCATATTAGTCAAAAGTTTGCTCAACTCCATATCCTTTAATGAATTTTCTGTAGTATCCTGTCAACCTAAGAAACCCCTCAAGGCTTTCAAATTCTTAGGCAAAGGCCATTATTGCATGGCTTCAATCTTAGTAGGATCACCACTTCCTGTGCTGAAATCACATTCCCAAACTACTTATATTGTCCAAAGAAGCATTTGCTCATTTTAGCATTAACTTATTCTTCAGCAGATCTTTAAAACAATTCTTAGATCATGTTCATGTTCTGCCAAGCTAGAGTTGTAAACTAAAATGTCATCAAAGAACACTAAAACAAATCTTCTTAAATATTCACCAAATAAATCATCATCAATGCTTGAAAGTAGCTGGAGCTAGTAAGCCCAAAGGGCATTACTACCTAAATTTAGAATATCCTTGGTGAGTTCTAAAAGTAGTCTTGTGAATGTCCTCTTCCTTAATTATGATTTATCAATATCTAGACCTTAGATCAATTTTTGAGAAGAATGCAGCTCCATTAAGTTCATCTAGTAAATCTTCCACTATAGGAATAGGAAATTTGTTCTTGATGGTAGCAGAGTTGAGCTGTATGTAATCTACATAGAATCTCCAAGTTCCATCATTCTTCTTGTAGTAGGCAAGTACAAGCAAAAAAGCTTTGACTAACTTGAATGATAGAAGCTTATAGCATTTCAGCAATCTACTTTTCTACTTCAGCCTTATGAGGTGTGTAAACCTATAGGGTCTGAGATTCACAGGTTGTTAGTCTTGTTTTAGGAAAATAGCATGATCATGTTTCCTTCTTGGAGGCATTCCTTTAGGTTCTTCAAAAACTTCATGAAATTCTTCCAGTAAATTCTGAAGTGATGCAGAGTTGTACTGTCAGCAACTTCAGCACTCAACCAAAAAATTTCTCCACTCAATTCAGTATCCTTTTCTGCTAATTTCTGAAAATTTTCTCTTGTGATGGTTCTAACTAGGGGTAATTTTTGAGTTCTTTTAATAACAACAGTCTTCTATTCTTTCATAAAATTGATAGTCTTGGTCTTAAAGTCCATCAAAATGGGACTGAATTCCCTCATCCAATCCACACCAAGCACCATGTCACTGCCTCTAAGGACAATACTCTAAATCATGTTGAAATTCATATCCTTGCATCTTTCAGTTCACATTTTACTCTTAGCATTGTGTACAGTTCTCTCTATTAGCTACTGTAATTACTAATGGTGGAGTGTTTACTAACTCCACTCCTTCCTTAGCCCACTTAGGAGTTACAAACTATGAGTGCTTGCACTGGCTTTCCCATGATAAACCCTTCTATTCTCATAGTGGTGTGACCCATTTTTCCTGTAATGGCATTAAGGGATATTTCAGAGCTTCTTCTCTACTTCTTCTTTTTCTCCAGATTATTCTTCAGTCATATCCTTTTCAGCAGAATCTTATTCTTCTTTCATACAGTTAGTTGTCTGACCTTGCATTGATGTCCAGGGCTAAACTTTTCCCCACATTTAAAGCATAAATTATGAGATCTGTACTCCACCAAACTTTACTTAGCAATACTATTCGGGGACTTGTTTTAGCCATCATACTAGTGTTCAAGTTCTTTGGCTGAGTATTCAGAGGTATGTAAGCAAATTTTTGGTAGGAACTTTATACTTTTAGTCTCAATCTCATCTGCCAACTCATAAAGTTTGGCTTGCCTATATGCATCAGATAGAGTTTTAGGCTCCAACACCTTAACCTTGTTCTTAAGATCTTCCTTGAGGCCCACTAATAAAGATGGAAACAAAATAATATTCCCCCAGATGCATATTCTGTTGTATAAAATAGGTTTCAACTCCTCAAAATTTTCTTGATACTCTTCCACACTTCCCTTTTGCATTAACTTGTTAAACTCTTCAATAATGTATGAATAATTTCTGTCACGAACCTGGCACAAGTCTGCCTCAAATTCATGCCATGTTACTCTATACTTCTACATAATTAGCCATCAAACCAAGTCTCAACTTTCCCCATTAGATACATGGCAACTACCTCCATTTTCTATTCTTCTGGAATTCCCAATAGATTAAAGTATTTTTGGCATTTCTAATCCATCCCTAGGATTGCTACCATCAAACATTTAACTCTATTTTTTGTCGAGTAAGACAGACCCTGAGCTTCCAAAAGGACCTCTAGATGAATTTTTATTATCAATATCTTCACTGCCCATTTTAATCTCACTAGCACTAGCTACATTGCTATCTAGCTGTAACTCTTATTCATAGGCATAGAACTCTGGAAAGCTACTGGTTTAGATGCTAAATGCATGGTTCATTAGGTTGAAGAATACCTCTCTTTGTCTCCTATTACAGTAACTTGTATAGGAACCTTGATTGTTGACTTGGAGATATCAGTTTCCTGGTTTTCTTTCTTCTTACCATCATTGTTTCCTCTCAGAAGTTTCCTCTCCTTCTTTGCTCCTCAGGATTTTCAGGATACTAGTAAAATATTCTTTCTGTTCAGCAAACTCAGATTCCAGGTTCTCCAACCTTTGCTGCTTCTTTTCCCACCATTTTGGCATTTGGGTATCATCTCTCAAATCTGCCACTTGATTTGTAACTCCTTAATGCTATTGAATGGAAGTCAACGGTGATCATCTGCCATTATTTGAGCTTTATTCTGCTTTCCCAGTTTTCTGATTGACCAGGATCTAGGCTCTGATTACCAATTGTCACGAATTAGGGGTGAAAATTGAGATTTAGAAAATGATAGAAAGGAATTTAGAAGAAAACTTGTGTATTCATTCATAAAAAATGATTCCAACGGAATCAGGTACAGTTTTATATAATTACAAGTACCCACAGCTGGTATGTACTGTAAATCTAACAAAATAACTAAATTATGCTGACTCATGCAGGATCATATGTAGCTGGCGTCACAGCAGATTACAACCTGTGGCTTACATTTAATCCAGATCCATGTCTTGCCTCAGCTGACCCAATCTCCTCCTTAACTCTGGTCCCAACGGTAAGTTTCCTCCCAGCCCTCTCGTTCACCATTTCTTCCCGTTCCAAATCCCTAATTGAGTCAATTCCTCCCAAATCCCCTTTTTCATTTTTCCCCCTCGTATGTTACATTCTTTACAATTTAATTTTTTCTTCACTTGACATCCCTTCATCAATAATAAAGGCAGCTAACGGCGATGGTTAGTTCCAAAAGTCCAAACAGAGTGAACAAAATCTTTTGGGACCAACAACTTCCAATAAAGGCAGCCAACTAGGATGGTTAGTTCAACTGATGACATGAGATTTTGGTTGAAATCTAGGATTGAGAGAGTTTAGGATTTTTTAAGAAGATTAAAATGAATGAATGAAAATTCATGGCTAATTAATATTGTTTAAAGTTTAAGGGTTAAACTAAAACTTAACCATTTTTTAACATAGGTTATCAAAGTAGTGAGAGTTAATAACTTAGTGATCAAATTATAACAAATTGAGAACATAAGTGACAATATGGTAGTTTATCCTTTTAGATCCACTAATGGATCATAAAAGAAAGTAAAAGTAAATGTGGTGAGTGCTAACAAATTACAAGGAAGTTGCTTGGAAACCGGTAGGAAATTGGCTGATTGATTCATTGCAAGGCCTTGGAAAGTTGTAAATGTGTGGAACCCTATAAATTTAGGTGACTACCTTAGTTAAAAGGCATGGGTTTCTCCTCCTCCTCCTCGTCAAACAATCTTGCAGGTTAGTTTACCTATTTTCTCTCTAGTTTTCATATTAATATACGAGCGTTTAAAGGTTTGATGATAATCTTTGTTTAGTCGAATTAATATATTTTTATTAGAAAGAAAGAAGAAGAAGATAGATAACTAGTAAGGTTGAGAAAATAGTATTTTTGTGTGTGCATGGATCATTTCCTATCTCTTACAAGCATTAGTTGTTAGCAAATAATAATGTTATAAAACAAGAGTATTTGTTATCAAATAGTGATATTATAAACAATATAGTTAGTGTGGACTAGTAAATAATAATAACAAAATAATAAAGAATAGACTGATTTTACTGTGTTGTCACAGAAGTTACTCTTAGAAGTATTGTCCGGATTGTTGTAATCATTATGATGGACGTTACTCCTATTGAGTCAAATTATTTGTCTGAAACTTTAGAAATACATGCAAGAGAAAATCATATTTCTTCGAAAAAATTGGGTCTATATACATGATTAAGGAGATGATATCCTATTTCTACAATTTGTAATTCATGCTTTACACACAGTGTTCTGTGAGGCATGACAGTTTTCATCTATAACGCACAGTCTGTTCCTATGGCAAGTGGATCAGGATTGACCAAGCTACAAAGAAAGAAGGATGGACAGCCAAAGAGATTCATTTAACGGATGATAAATGAAGTGTCTGAGTTACTGAGATGTCCGAACTGCCCTGCACTGATTGCATTGTATTTGCAAGGGAATTATGAACTCACAGCTATTCCTCCCCGATTCTTTCAGCGCATGGCCCTTCTCCAAGTATTAGATTATCTTTACTAGCATCAAATCTTTGCCAAAATCTGTTCCAAGTTGGTTGCGCTAAAAAAGCTCTTGTTACGAGGTTGTGATCTCTTCATGGAACTATCACCTCAGGTTGGGAAACTCAAAAATCTTGAGGAGCTTGATCTTGATGAAACTCAGATCATGGATTTGCCTAGAGACACTGGGAAACTTCTGAAGTTAAGACAGCTGAAAGTATCATTCTATCATTTGTGTGACAAAAAGAAGTCGAAATCAAACATTTTGATTCACCCTAAGACGATATCAATTCTCTCACAACTTGTCGAGTTAAGCATTGATGTGAATCCCGCAGACAAGAGGTGGGATGATTGTGTAGAAGCTGTTGTGAAAGAACTATGCAACTCGAAAACATTGAGAACTCTTAGTTTGTACCTGCCGGAATTCGAGCTTTTAGGTAATGCTTCATGGATATATCCTTCCTTGTCACGCTTTAGGTTTACTGTTGGTCATCATAAAAGAAGAATCATATCTCGTGTACCTCATGAAGTTGAAGTGGAGTTCAGAAACTGGGACAAATGCTTGAAGTTTGTGAATGGTGAAAACATCCCGATTGAAATAAAAGGGGTGCTGAATATTCTACTTCATTTTTCTTGGACCACCATGCAACCGCTGTGAATCTATCTGCATTCGGAATTGAGAATATGAAGGGGCTAAAATTTTGCTTGTTGGTGGACTGTAATGAAATGGAAACACTTATTGATGGATATGTGCTTTATGAAAGAAACGAAGTGGATCAATATGCATCCGACCCTGGCTCTGTAGACCTTGTGCTCGAGTCCCTAGAGTGTTTGAGCATTTATTACATGGAGAATTTGCAGAGAATTTGGAGAGGACCAAATGAATTTGCATGTATGTCTAAGTTGAAATTCCTAGCATTGCATACATGCCCCAGGCTGAGTGAAATTTTCAGTCATACTTTGCTAGAAAATTTTGTCAACCTAGAGGAGATAATTCTTGAGGACTTGTCCTCAAGTCACAAGCCTTGTAAGTCATTCATCTGCCAAGCCAGTGATGTCAGATAAAATAGTTCTTCCAAGTTTGAAAAGATTGCTGCTTCTTTACCTTCCTGCACTGGTCAGCATTTCCAGTGGCTTATTTATAGCACCAAAGTTGGAAAGAATAGGCTGTTACAATTGCCCAAAGCTTACAAGTGTATCAAAAATGGAATTGTCGAGCAAAACTTTGAAGATAATCAAAGGAGAATGTCAGTGGTGGGAGGATATGAATTGGAATGAAACTGAATGGGGAAGTCGACCAGATTTTCTGATGCATATCTTTTCCCCTATCTATAATGAGAACGATGTGATGTCCCAATTGGGAGATGATAGAGATGTACTTGAAGAAACCATACAAAATGAAGGCCAACAACTAGGTAATATAAATTTTGTTTTATTATCCTTATAAAAATTGCTAGATTTATTATCCTTATTTTTCTGTTCATTTGAAAAACAAGTATGCTACTCCTATTGATGCACTGTAAACTGGGAAAATTTGCAGGTGTTTCTGAAGCTTCAACAGAGGGCGAATCCCAACAATCAGGTAATCTAAATGTTCCTACTTGACTACTTCTGACGAAACTTGCTAATTGTTAGTCCAACGGATCCAAGCTTTCGTATGACATGGCACTGAAGTTCAATATTACCTCTTTGACAGCAGGAGCAGAGCCACAAACGTCTGTGCTAGAAATCACGTCGGAGTTGACAAAGTCGATCCCTCTTTCTCATACTGGAACTTGGAGTGGAGACTCTGACTGTGGTTTCAAAGAACTGGACGAGTTCAATCTAGATGCCTCCAAGAAAAGGTATATATAAGATGAAAATCAAAGCACATTGTATAAAGATATAACTAATATCTCATGCAATATAGGTTCATTATGTTTTCTTTTCTTTCTTTATTTTCTGTTTCATGTATTCAGAAAAACTCTGCCAAGATTTACGCAGCATGTCCGAGTGAGGGCTGAAACAGACTCGAAGGTAAATCCTGTAGATGGCTTCTGCTGGAGGAAATATGCGCAAAAATATATACTCGGAGCAAAATATCCAAGGTTTGCCAGTTCTCCTTTCCTAATATCCAAACAAACAGATTAAAGCATACTTGCTAGTTGTTTATATATCAAAGAGCAATTAATTAACCTTTGACATGCTCCACATCAACTCTAAGCCATGGAAATTGAAACACCTATTTGACAGAATCCTAGCTTGCAAAGCCTGAACTGTGTATGCTTTACTGTCAACATTTTAATGTTTGGTTACATATATATATATATATATATATATATATATATGTCAATTGAGTTAAGCTATGGTTTCAAACGGTAATGGTTTGCAACTTCCATTCCACTACTATCTAGAGAAATCCTAGAGTTTGTTTAACCATTCTGGATTACAGAAACTACTACAGGCGCACACACCATGTCCAAGGTTGTTTGGCAACAAAGCAAGAACAAAGAATGGATGATGACCCGAGAATCATTGAGACTACTTACTGCGGAACACACACTTGTACGCAAGTAGAAGGAACCAGCATAGAGCCACAGAAGTTGTCGCATAACCATCATGGGCGGGATGTCAGGGAGCTGTATAAGTTGCACTCTCAACCTTGCAATGTTCATAGGGTCAATGAAGTGGAAGATGCTGCTGAGGCAGCCAAAACTATCAGCTCAACAAAAGGTGAAGAGTCAGATCCCTTCCCTGATCGTCATATTATCAGTCTTGATGCAAATTAGAGAGTAAAGATGATCACTGAACCTTGAGTTTAGCATTAACAGGAATAACTATTTTGTCTGTTTTGGTGTTTAATGCCTACATCAGAAAATTTCAGAGGACTGGAGTTTACAACAATTTTGCCAATCTAATACTTGATTTGGTGTGTGTTTATAAATGCTCAGAGAGAGGCTGAATGTAAATATGCAAAGAAAAGTGTAAAAAGAATTCTATCAGTAATTTTACCTTAAAAACCTTTGTTGGGAACTAGAGTGCTCAACTGTTCAGTTTCACTATTTGGCTTGACCTAGAAATTATATCAGAAACGTTACATTAACAGAAACCATACAATGCCTAAAAGACAAGGTTGATTGAGGAAAATTGTTACTAAGGCCTGGTTCATTTGACTTTGGCAGGATATGTAGATGTATTTGAAGCTTCGATACAAGAAAAAGCAGCAAATCCTGGTAATTGTTTCTTCTCAAACTTAATGTTCCGAATTGTTTTCTGTCAACAAACTCAATACATAGAAACCAGGATATCTCTCCGAAAATGAACATTTCTTGAAATACGTATCTTACATGTCTTTTCCTCCCATATGTGCCTACAATGGAGGATAGAACAACTTTTCTTTTCTCCTAACATCTAGAATTCGAAATGAAACTGAGTTAGGAAATCAGCCAGATTATCCGAAGCGTATTTTTTCCGTAGTCGAGAAGGAGAAAGATGTGATGACCCAATTGGCAGAAGATAGAGATCTAGTTAAGACCAACAGCCACAATGTAATCCAGCTGCTTCTAAGAAAATGAAGGCCACTAAACCAGAACCAGAAAACGTGGATGCTTTAGAGGGGCTTGACACCCTGGCCGACCTAGCTATCTTGGGGGAGGGTGAGTCTCTCCCCACTTCATCTCAAGTCACCACAAAGCACCCCCGGCATAGACCTGGCTGCTCATGTATCGTATGTATTCAACCCCCAAGTGGGAAAGGTCCCAAACACAAGCAGACATGTACATGTAATGTTTGTGAAACAGTGAAGAGACGATTCCGCACCCTAATGCTGCGGCGTGAGAAGAAACAGTCACGGAAAGAAGCTGAAACCACTGGCAAGAAGCAGCAAACTCCGTTGCCTGATAAGATAGGGGATGTGTTGTGGTTGGAGAAGAAGAGGGACGAGGAAGCAACGAAAGAGCAATTGGGAAATGAGGATAAAGGGTTAGGGATTGATGACAGGGATTTGGAAATTGAATCACGTGAGGGGCATGGGGAGAACTTACCGCATCAGTTGGAGCAGGCCAGCAAATCCAATATATAATGGAGCATCCCAAACTTGACGACCCAGTACTTGCAGAAGAAAGGAAAGAGAAGAATAATTTTGTTATATAGTTGTTATCTAGGATGGACAGTTGGCATCCTTAGATTGAACGTACGACAATGTAACTAAATAATTGCATGCCTTGATTGTAAAAATTCCTTATGCAATAAATGAATGAACTATTTCTTTCTCTAAATTCTCTTATTCTTCTATCATCTTTTTCTCGAATTCTTCTCTATTTCTCTCGATTTCTTGATTGATATCCAGAGCCTCGATTTCTGGCAAGTTCAGTGGGCATGACAAAGAAGAATCAGTATATGGCTGAAGTTGATTTATCTGCTCTGCAAAAAAAGATGGAAGAATTAACAGCGTTGGTGAAACAAGGTTAAGAGGACACTAATCCACCTAAATGGTGGGAAACTCAAGAAAACAGAATCACTGCATTAGAGTCAAGGATGTCTACTAATCAGGGTTATGTTTAAGAACTGTTAAAGATTTTAACTGGAAGAAATGGTGAGCAAGAAAATTCTGCTAGGGAACAGGTACAAACTCCTAACACTTCCAAAAATTGTGATAAGAATCCTATTTTGGTTACCGTGGTGAATGACAAAACCATATTTACTTATAAGACTGATGAACCTGAGATTTTAAAATCTAAACCAGATGCTTGTTTAGCCCTTAAGAACAGATCTAAACATGAGAATCAAATGGGGGGAAACAGTGAATCTATACCTAATATGTTGGGTTATGAAGTGGAAAGAAGAGGCCCAGGGGGTTCATTTAACAGTCCAGAGACTATGTGGCATAGACCTAAAATTGAACTGCCATTCTTTGAAGGTGTTAATCCTAGGGGGTGGATTCAAAAATGCCTGAAATATTTTTCTATTTGTAGTGTTCCTGTTGAGCAGAGAGTGGAGGCAGTTACTATGTATTTAACAAGCAAAGTAGAAATCTAGTTTGATGGTTATATCATGCAGAAACACCATGTAACATGTCATGAGTTTGAAGCTGATCTTTGTCACTTTTTCTATTTGTAGTGTTCCTGTTGAGCAGAGAGTGGAGGCAGTTACTATGTATTTAACAAGCAAAGTAGAAATCTAGTTTGATGGTTATATCATGCAGAAACACCATGTAACATGTCATGAGTTTGAAGCTGATCTTTGTCACAGATTCAGTGACAAATCTTTTTCTGATATTGTAGAAAAGTTCACTAAATTGACTCAGAAAGGGTATGTGGAAGATTATCAAAAGAGATTTGAGGAGTTACAACCTCATATGCTTTTGCAGAATCCTACTTTAACTAAGGAATTTTTTGTATCACTTTTTATTAGTTGACTCAGAGATGACATTAAACACGGGGTCAAGACTTTAGGTCCTAAGAACTTGTCTGAAGCATGTAAACAAGCTAAGCTTTATGAATCGTTTGTTGAGTTTGAGAATAGAAGGTTGATGCATCCTTTTAAAACCCCACCCTACCCAAACCCCATTAATATTTCTAAAACAACTTAACTGCCAAAAAATACAAAACCTACATCTGTACCAAACCCAAAGCAGAATCTTATTGATTATATGAGGCAAAATAACCTCTGTTTTAAATGTGGTGAGAAATTCCTCCCAGGTCATCAGTGTAAAAACAGGTAGTTGAACATGCTTACTGAAGAAGTTGACACTCCTTCATTGGAAGTTTTTCCTACAGACTCATATCAGTCTCCACAAACAGAAGAAGAAACCCTAGAAATCACTATGAATGCTATTACTGGCTCCATTGAGAATCCAAGGATCTATTCAGGAAAGACCATTGAATATTCTAATTGATAGTGGGAGTACACATAGTTTCTTGACTCCCAAATGGGTTGATGATGGCATACAGATTACTACCCCTTATCCCTTGGCCATCATTGTGGCTAATGGCTAACAATTATTCAGTTCTGCTAGATGCAACAAAGTTTAATGACAAATGCAGGGACACACCTTTATACATGATTTCAGATTGTTTAAATTGGGTGACAGTGACATGGTGTTAGGAGTTTATTAGATGAAATTAGTTAGTCCTATATTGATGGATTTCAATAACATGACATTAAGTTTTGACCATCAAGGAGAGTAGATTTGTATTCAAGGAAAACAACCTTCATTAGAATTACAACAGATTGCAGGGGCTACATTACTTAAGATGAATGCTTGGGATTCAGATATTATGGGTCACATTGTCCTATTGACCATGGCAGGAAATTTTCTTCCTATTCCTACTGAACTCCAACAGGTATTGGAGAAATACAACACAGTTTTTGCTGAACCTGAAGGCTTACCTCCTCAGAGAACTCATGATCATGTTATTCCACTTAAGCCTAATGCCACACCAGTTAATCTAAGGCCCTACAGATTTCCTCACAATCAGAAAGCTGAGGTAGAAAAACAGATAGCTAGTATGTTTTCTTCTTCTGTTATTCAACCTAGCATGAGCCCCTTTGCCTTTCCCTGTCTTCTTATTAAAAAGAATGATGGCACTTGGAGATTTTATGTGGATTACAGACAATTAAACAATATGACCATCAAAGACAAATTCCCTATTCCTATAGTGGAAGATTTATTGGATGAGTTGCATGAGGCAGTTTATTTTTCAAAAATTGATTTGAGATCAGGCTATTGTTATATTAGAGTTAGACCAGAAGACATTTACAAGACTACCTTTAGAATACATCAAGGCCATTATGAATTTAAGGTAATGTCTTTTGGCCTTACTAATGCTCCTAATACATTTCAGGCTCTTATGAATGAATTATTTAATTCTTTCCTTAGAAAATTTGTTTTAGTTTTCTTTGATGACATATTGGTGTACATCAGTAGTATGCAAGAGCATGTTAAGCATTTACAACTGGTTTTGGAAGTTTTGCAAGTATACCAATTATTTGCAAAATTGTCCAAGTGTTTTTTTGGACAGAATAAGGTGGAGTATTTAGGCCATATTATTTCGGCTATAAGGGTTTTTAGGTCTAACAGGGTAGTACAGGAGGTTTATCAGAAACTATGGCATTATTAGCAGACCCTTGACACAGATGTTAAAGAAAGATGGGTTTGAGTTGATTTTTACAGCTTGTAATGCTTTTGAAGACCTTAAAAAAACTATGTGTTCAGCTTCAGTCTTAGTATTACCAGATTTTTCTAAGACTTTTTATCTAGAAACATATGCTAGTTTTGGTGGTATTGGATCTGTTCTTTAACAAGATGGTCGACCTATTGCTTATTTGAGTAAAGCTTAAAGCCCTAGACATTCAACAATGTCCATTTATAAACGTGAATATCTTGCTATTCTATTAGTTGTTTCAAAATGGAGACATTATTTGGAGAGTAGACCTTTTATCATAAAGACTGATCATGAATCCTTAAAGTTTCTTTTAGAACAGAAGTTGACTACCACTATTCAGAAAAAAGGGTTAACAAAGCTGTTGGGACTGGACTATACTATTTAGTATAGAAAGGGGAAATCAAATGTAGTTGTTGATGCCTTATCTAGAAGATGTGAGGATCAAGCTCAATGTTTGACTATAGGGGTTATAGTTTTGATACATACTTGGGTTCAAGAGATTGAAGAAAGTTATCAAGGTGATTCTCTAGCTCAGAATTATATTTCAATTCTAACTATTAATCCTGCTACTGATAGTAAATGGAAGTATTCTAAGGTTGTTCTTAGATACAGTGGTGGATTCTATATTGGGGATAATGGAAGCCTTAGATTGAAGGTTATTCAAACCTTGTATGATTCTCCTCAAGGTGGACATTCAGGAGCACAAGTTACATATTATAGGATTAGGTAAAAATTTTATTGGCCAAATCTTAAAGCTATGGTTGCTACTTATGTGAGATGTTGTAAAACTTGCTAGCAAACTAAGGTGGAACATGTAGCAAAGCTTGGTTTGCTACAGCCCCTGTCTGTTCCTAATCAAGCTTGGGAAATCTTTACTATGGATTTTGATAACTCTGTAAAAAGGTCACATTTTGGGACCTTTTCACTTAAGTTATTGAATGTCTAAGAGCTCATTTAGGACCATATAGATGCATTTAGGAGCATTTAGTTACATGTGGTGGAATTCGATTTGTCGCGGCATTTTAATTCGTCATCAATGCTACCTTATAGGGAAGATGTTTGTATAATAATGTGCAGGAATTGAGAGCAAGGAAAAGAGAAAGAGAAATGCCATGACATAAGGAGATCGGAGACTGTTGAGCAGAATGAAAATACCGAGTTGGATTGGCATTTCGAAAGCGAGCGAAGTGCGAGAAGATATTTTTGAAGCCAGTTGTCTCCCACTTTCACCAAGAGCGAGAAATCCACTTGGATTAGCACTGCAAATGCCCATACTAGACCATGTCGCCTTGCTGTAGATGTCAGGTGCTTAGTCAACTACCCAGTATAAGCCATTTCCAGTTGCCTATGTTGGACCACTGCCCAATCCTCACGAGAATCAAGAAAAGTTAGGGGTATCATAGGAATTTCAACTCCAATTCCTAGGGTTTTTCTCCCCTTATATATAGAGGATGAAGCCACGATGAAAAAAACTTTGGTTCCACACTGATTTGAGCTTAAAAGTTAGAGAGAGAAGGTCGTACTTTTCTCAGTCAATCCGACTTGCCGTGGCATTTCTCCGTGACAAGCTTGAGGGAGTGGCGTTCTAAGCATTCGAGAGGAGCTAGTTCGCTAGGGGCAGTTTGTGGTAGCCAAGAGCAGTTCCGGCAGTGAATTCGAAGGCTTACTCTCCTTCCCTTAGTTCTTTGCTTTCACATTTTGTTATTTGGGTTGTAAGGAACGAATGAAACTTGCTTTGTACTTG